TGCCTACGGTCTCAACTCTTTGCCTACGGTCTCAACTCTTTGCCTACGGTCTCAACTCTTTGCCTACGGTCTCAACTCTTTGCCTACGGTCTCAATTCTTTGCCTGCGGTCTCAATTCTTTGCCTGCGGTCTCAACTCAGGACTCGGACAAAGTTTATGGGAAAAAGAAAGGACGGATCGTATCCAGGTCGCAGACAGATCATTCCAAAAGATCGCGTCACTCGTTCTGCAAGCAAACGCCAGAGATCCTCCATGGACGGACAACTCATGCCATCCACACCCATCAGACAGCGTGCGGCCTCTCCAGCCCGAGAGCCCACGCCAGGCATGTCGACGAACAAGCCAGGCCCAACTTCATCAGACATGATGCCGGAGCCAGTTCCGGCCACCTACGTGATGCAAGAACCAAATGTGCCCCCTCCCATGATGGCAGAGCCAATTCCGGACACCCTCAGGATCACAGGGCCAATCCTACCCCCTCCCATGATGACAGGGCCAATCCTACCCCCTCCCATGATGACAAGGCCAACTCTACCCCCTCCCACCATGAGACAGCCAGACCTACCCCCTCCCATCATGCCAGGGCCAACCCTACCCCCAATTCTGGCTCCGGTCTTCCCTCCACAGGTGGGCGGACATCAATCTCCCTCTGGCAACGTCAATCTGAACCCTGGGCTTCAGCAGCTTGCACGACTCTGTGATGACTTGAAAAACGAGATCGTGCCTGCCTGCAAAGAAAGGTTCGAATCTCGCATGCGAGAACAGTTTTTGGAGCGCATACAGGCCGCGGAAGAGCGAGTCCAGAAAGCGGAAGCGGACGCCAACGTCTGGAAAAAGCAAGCAGAGGATGCGCAAGTTTGGGCAGACGCCCACGAAGCGCTCGCAGAGACCGCGACAGCGCGAGTAGCTGAAGCGACAGCGCGAGCACGGGACTGGGAAGCTCAAGCAAAGACCGCGGAAGCTCAAGCATTGGCCGCTAATGAGCGAGAAGGTGACTTGAGGAAGCGAGGAAGTGAGGCGATCAAGGTAGGGCACGAGCAGAAAGTCAGAGCAGACGAGCAGGAAAAAGAAGCAATGGCCTGGAAGAGGCAAGCAGAGAGTGCGACAGCGCAAGCAAGGACCGCAGAAGCTCAAAAATTGGATGTAGCACAGCGATTACTGACCATGGAGAGGACAGCAAAACTTGAGAAAGCGATATCAGAGATCTGGAAAGATCGAGCAAAGGACGCCGAAGCTCAAGCAAAGGATGCGGCACAGCGAGCACTGACCCTGGAGACACGAGCAAACGACGCGGAAGAACAGGCACGTGCCTCCAAAGAACGAGAAGACCTCGCGCAGTTGCAATCTCATCACTGGAAAAGGTGTACAGAGATTGCCACAGCGCAAGAACAGGCCGCGAAAGAGGAAACACAGGACTGGAAAAAACAAGCAGACGAGGCGACAGAGACGGTCCGCACCGTGACCACCATGGTAGTGCACTTGGAGGAAGAGCTCCTGTTCCGTGAACAGAAGTTTCAAACTCTTAAGCAGACCCTCCAAGAGCGACAACGGGCCTTCGACGCCGACGTGCGTTGTTACACAGCAGCACTCGAGGTCTTCCAGAATCAGAACCCGGACCGATCTCGGCGACAGCTCGAGAAGAAGAAGCAACAATTGAAAAAGTACAGAAAAGCCATCCGTGTACATCAAACACATTGTCAAGAACTGACGGAGGAACTGTCCAAGGCCAACGCCAGACTGTCCAAGGCCAACGCCAGACTGGTGGCAATCGACGACCTGCGCTGCAACTGCTGCAGTGACGATGTCAAGGAGGTCTTTTTGCCGTGTGGGCACGCATTCTGTAAAGAATGCGTGTACCAATGGCTGTCCAAGCACGACACTTGCCCCACGTGCCGGGCGCATTGTCACCTCGCCGATGCCCGCGACCTATACATCGGGGGACCTATTCCGGATCCCACGCCCGAGGTCGATGACCATTCCAGTGATCAAGACGAGGAAATGTCCGAGCTCGTCGACGAGGTAGCAGACAGTGAGGAGGACGAGGACGAGGACGAGGACGAGGAGGAAATGCCCGAGCTCGTCGACGAGGCAGCAGACAGTGAGGAGGACGAGGAGGAGGACAAGGACGAGGAGGAGGACAAGGACGAG